ATGGATTGGAAAGAAATGCAGACGTTAATGTTGTGCATGAATAGAGCAAGAAAATGTGTAGGCCGCAGATAACGGTCAATATTAGCTGTTACCCAGTGCATCACAGAGACCTGTGCTGTTGGTCGTTTTTGTCACCACTCATTATTTTCTTCCACATTTATTCCATGCGTAGACCTGAGCGAGAGAACGAACATTAAATTCCGTTTGAAACGTCATGCCAAGGATTAGTAACAAGAAAGCCGAATCTGCAGCTTCCACCCAGAGGCCTGAGAGCAAACTTTGCTCCAGTGCTCCAGTCTTAAACATTTTCTGGCTACAATAGAGGTGTCACACCTAAATATAACTCCAGTAAAGCTTTAGCATAATGTTAATGGAATCACTGAACAGTCAAGAGTCGGCCAGAGAGGCCATGTCACTGTGGATTGTTGTCTGTGTTTTTTTTTTTTTTTTTTTTTTTTTTTTTTTGAATGATTTCCATACCGGAGGCCCGGGTTAACAACATGTCTGTTTACTGTAACCTAGTTTTTTCCATCCGTGTGTTTACCAGTTGCTTACCAGGCTAGAACAATTAGGTTGGACCTATAAAAGCATCTAATTTCTAAGAAAACCTCTTACCTAGATTGATGGTAATCCTGGAAAAACATGTTGATGTTGTTCCATTTACAGCTGGATACTGCTGAAAAATGGCTTGCTCTAAAAACTAAAGCTGTGGCGTAAAAGCTGCTTTTACAGTTCCATGACGCTTCATACAAATGTGGCTCACCAGATTTCATATTTGGTAATGGGATGGCTCAAAGAGTCAGTCAGCTTGTCACAAAAACATTAAAGTACAACATTAAAACACTTTAAAGGGTTCTCTCAGTAGTCACATGGATGTTCAGCTAACAGAAAACAGTTAGTATGTTGATTTTCAATCATCTACACAAAGATATCTATCTATCTATCTATCTATCTATCTATCTATCTATCTATCTATCTATCTATCTATCTATCTATCTATCTATCTATCTATCTATCTATAGATATAAATGTGTGTGACCATAAGTTAAACTGTAAACGGATTAAGGCTGAACTAATGATTTCTATGTTTTACTTCACGCACATCCCACATATTGTTTTTCTAAGGCTGATGCTCAAGATATAAAAAGTAAAACTTTCCTTGCAGTATAATTTCCATCATACTGCTCTCTTCCAAAAGGCAGTAGTGTATCAGTAGGTGTATTGTTCATGCATTCATTTGATGACTCAGTGGATGTACTTGGGTCTATAGAAAAATAATATCCATTCTCAACATAGCATCAAAATACTACAGTATTATACAACAACACTGTAGCAAGTGCTGGAAAATTAGAAATGGAGGAAAGTGGTTTGGAAAATTTTCAGTGGTCAAATTGTCTTCAACTACAATCAAGCGCAGTCCATTTAGGAGTTTGTGACCCACACTCTTGTGTATTGCAGCAGGGAGCTTTTACAGTATGTGTGCCAGAGAGAAAAAATGCCAAATGCATTTCTCAAAACACCATTAGAAATTAATCAAAAGGTGAACAATATATATATTTGTGGCCCAAAACATCTAAGGTCAAGAAGTAAAAATCCAAGTACATAAATATGAGAAATTACATTGACAAAATCCATTTGAGGTCAAGCAACAGTTTACTAAGGGCCACTTCCATTTGTTATGCACGGTGCATATGATATCATTTTTTAACATGAACAAGAGCCAGAAAACAGAAAGGAAAAGGGGAACAATCACATTTTAGATCTCAGGGCAGAGAGAGCAAACACAGTTACGGCCAAAAGTCCATCTGTATCGATCAGACACCTACTGGGTTTGTGTGATAAGATGCAGATACCATAGAAGGTTACAGCATTGACACAAACAAGACCATAACGAGGCATGTAACGACCACGTAATGTAGTGACTCTTTAATGTTTGGAGTGAATGTGGAACAAGCTACTCTTTTGAGTAGCCACAGGCTTCTACTTTAGTTGATGATGTTAGGTGATGATGATGCTGCATCCTCTAATACACACCCTATTCATAAAGACCAATTAGATTAAGTACCAATTATAGGGAGAATAAAAGCAAGAATAGGAAGAGGACAATTTGTGACCTTCTAATGTTTACCCTTTATTAAAAATACTGACCCAGCGTCCATGTCAGCTGTCTGTTTAGGTTTACCAAAACAACACTGCAGTTGGGCCACGTACACAACTATCTGACACTTGTAGTGCTCTGCTGTCCTGAAATACACTCCTGTACGTTGAGATCTCTATCCATGAGAGACACAACAGAGACATGTTATCATGCAGAGCACATTTCTAAAAAGTAATTAAAAGGACTGAATTTGGCAAGTCACAACCGTGTCAGACATGATGCAGCTGCAGGTGCAGGAGCAGAAGAGTGAGAGTGGGTGAACGTTGTATGTTTTTGGCAGGATCGTTGGTTCTTACCAGCTGCTGTCTTTAGTGTCTTTGAGCACATGTTGAGCTTGCTTTGATGGAATTAATCCACGGTGTTTTGAGACAAACAAAGGGAAGAAGTGTGTTTGAAGTGCGTTCTATGTGGTAATCTGACTCATGAAACACAAGTGGAGATGTTATGTTGACATCAGATAATCTCCAACGGTAGGTTTGTCCCATTCGAAATGTTCATTTCCTTGGTGGCAGCGGAGCATTATTGTAATTCCTGTTAGAGAAAATGAGCTTCTACCAGTGGGAGTCTTTATTCAATCCCATTCCCCCAGCAGAGACTCATCTCACCCCAGCGTGTATACAGTAACTGGCATGGCAGTCTGGCACGTGCAAAACCAAGACACACGCAGACTAATTTATCCTGATTTAGTCAGCCATTCATCTTTACTGAAATATCTGTCATAGCGTTTACATAGTGCACAGGTTTCTCAGGATTATGAAAAAAAAAATAATGATGATCATGACAGATGGTTTTCAACCCAAAAAGTACAGGGTTCTGAGTTTAAGGAACGTATTAAGAAATTCAATTTGTCAGGTGTCACAGCGAATCATTTCACTCCCTATATGGTCTGTTTTAATGGAACGCTGTATTGATTTGTGTCTGCTGGTTACTATCTTTGTATTACAAGTGACAGCAGGACATCATTGTTGCTGTGTGGAAGTTGCAGTCTGTGCTGCCGATGCAGGAGGGAACGTTTGACATTTTCATCTAAAGCACATTCAAATTGGGCTAATCTAATGTAATTTGATCTAATTTGAAATAACTGACTAACGACCTCCTTGTTAACTGTGTTTGGTTGAAGGACAATGACCATTGTCTTCACAGACCCTGGGTTCAGGTTATATATGAATGATTTTGGTGATAATATAAACAGATGATATATATTCTCCTGAAGTTTAAACATGACATGTATTACATTTACTGACATGAAGAATTACAGTTTGAATATTAACCACCATGTATACTACACCAGGGAAAGGTACTAATTCTTGTGGTCCCTAAATGAGTGAGGTTTGTTTATTCAGTGTTAATTAAAGGTGTGAGCTTACACTGTGTTAAGGTCTTGTAATGATAACCGTATTAAGCTGCCTAGTTTTTGCTTTCTTTTTTTTTTTTTTTTTTTTTTTTTTTTTTTTGTTTCAGCCTCCGGTGAAGATCAGCTTCTGTGAAATCTGGGAATCTAGGGCGATTCAGGACAAGGGAGTTAACAAAAAGCTTGTTATATCCCACAGATGGGCCATACTGACAATTGAGATTCCTTATAATCTATTGTGCTTCTATTGTTGTTGTGTGCTCATGATGCTTCATCAACAGAAAGTTGTCAATTATTTTTTAATTTACTTCCCAGTTGCATATTATGATATTATTATTATTTTTATTATTATTGTTGTTGAAATCACAGCCTTAATTACAATATATTGTGTTGCAATCCTATCAAATTAAATGAAAAGAAAAAGCATCTAATGTTTATTATCTTATCTAATAAAAAGCAATAAAACAATTTTTATCATCTGCGTTATGAAGTAACTTCATTTTTTTCTCTTTTCATTGCAGAAAACACAAACATCAGATGAACTATGAATGCTGAACACAATGATCTCCTCCCTCCAGCGCCAGACAATGAGAGGTCGTAGGCTGAAGGGGGCGCTCTCCAACCCCCTGTTTGTACTGCTTTTGGCTCTACAGATCCTGGTCGTGGCTGGGCTGGTCCGCGCTCAGACCTGTCCTTCTGTTTGCTCATGCAGTAACCAGTTCAGCAAAGTCATTTGCACCCGTCGTAACCTCCGGGATGTCCCAGATGGCATTTCTACCAACACTCGTTACTTAAACCTACAGGACAACCTCATCCAGGTCATTAAGGTGGACAGTTTTAAACATCTGCGCCATCTGGAGATCCTGCAGCTGAGCAAAAACCACATTCGAAACATTGAAATTGGAGCTTTCAATGGACTGGCCAGTCTGAACACCTTAGAGCTATTTGATAATCGGCTCACGACAATCCCCAATGGAGCATTTGAGTACTTATCCAAGCTCAAGGAATTATGGCTAAGGAACAACCCCATTGAAAGCATACCATCATATGCCTTCAACCGGGTTCCTTCTCTTCGACGGCTAGATCTAGGTGAGCTGAAGCGCCTGTCTTACATCTCTGATGGGGCTTTTAAAGACCTAAGCAACCTGAGGTACCTAAATTTAGGAATGTGCAACCTTAAGGAGATTCCTAACATCTTACCTTTGATCAAGCTAGAAGAATTAGAAATGTCAGGAAACCAGTTGTCCGTTGTCAAGCCCAGCTCATTCGCAGGATTGGTTAATCTCCAGAAGCTGTGGATGATGCACGCCCAGATCCAAAATATTGAAAGAAATTCATTTGATGACCTGCAGTCGCTGGTGGAGCTCAACCTGGCCCACAACAACCTCACCTTTCTGCCTCATGACCTCTTCACACCACTGCATCGTCTGGAGCGTGTCCATCTCCATCACAACCCTTGGAACTGCAACTGTGATATACTGTGGCTCAGCTGGTGGTTGAAAGAAACTGTTCCAGCCAACACCAGCTGCTGTGCCCGTTGCCATACTCCTACAAATTTTAAGGGCCGCTACATTGGAGAATTGGACCACAGCTACTTTCAGTGTGATGTTCCTGTCATCCTGGAGCCCCCCAGTGACCTGAATGTGACAGAAGGCATGGGTGCAGAGCTTAAATGCCGTACAAACTCCCTGACGTCCATCAGCTGGCTCACACCAAACGGTTCATTGGTGACACATGGGGCTTACAAGGTGCGTTTGTCTGTGCTCAATGACGGAACACTGAACTTCACCAGTGTGACCATGCAGGACACTGGAACTTATACCTGCATGGTGAGCAACACAGCAGGCAACATTTCAGCCTCGGCTGTTCTCAACGTTACTTCTGTGGAAAACAGCGGGGTGACCTATTTCACCACAGTCACCGTGGAGACTATTGAAGCCCCTGGTGAAGAAAATCAAACACTTCCTCCCATTGGCTGGGTGTCATCCTCAACAACAAAAGGAACCCCTGTTTCAACCAGAACCACAGAGCGGACTTATACTATTCCAGTTGTGGATCTGGATAGAGAGGGAGGACTTAACGGCCTGGATGAAGTGATGAAAACCACCAAGATTATAATCGGGTGCTTTGTTGCCATCACCCTCATGGCAGCTGTTCTGCTGGTGATTTTCTACAAGATGAGGAAACAGCATAACCAGCAGGATCCTGATGGCCCTGCCTCCTCTATGGAGGTCATAACTGTTGAAGAAGAGCTTGCAGGTGTCGCTGCCATGGAGCGACACCTGTCGCTGCCCCCACTGGACCACTACAACCACTACAACACCTACAAGAGCACTTACCACCACCCTCCTATGCTTAGTTCCATTCACAGCTCAACAACACAGGAACCTTTACTGATTCAAGCTTGCTCAAAAGACAATGTGCAAGAAACACAAATTTGACCTTGTGTTTGACTCAACACCCAGTATCAGCATTTCCTACAAATACACTGGACCAAAACAATAGGAAATACACTGTAAAGAAAACAAACAAAAAAAAATAAACCTTTGATTTGACAGTGTTGATGTCAGTGACGACGATTGGCAAAAGGATGACTTGATACTTAACAAGTGTCTTCAAAAAACAAAGATTATTTATTAAAACATGTCTATTGACTAAATGAAGAAAAACAATTTGTGATAGCTTTTTAGCTATTTTTATTTCTCTATCTCTTTCTCTGTGTGTAATACTGCAAAGGGGAAAGAATGGTTTACTAGAAATGAGGATTGACTTCATGTGTAAAACCAGATTTTCTTACAGCCCTTGAAGGCATCATGAGTAACTTTTCTGATGTCAACAGGCGTATTTTTGTTTTTTTGATTTTTTTTTCAACAACATACGCTTCCGTTTCGTTCTTTTTCTCCTCTCCGTCTTTCTTTTTAATCTAAATAGGAATATATTTTATTTTGCCATCTGTGATAACTTATCACACTGATCTTTTTTCATCTTTGCTGGGGAGACATTTTAATGCTCTTCATGTAATTTATTTCATACCCTTTCTTCCTCCCTAATTCTTAACCTCCAAGCATTTGCTTCTCCATTTCTCACACCCTGCCTGTACTGAAGAATGGACCCTAAATTACTTATACCACAGGAAGATGGTAAGCATGTCCTGAAATGGCTGACGAGAGGAAAAGAAAATATTGAAGGCCAACTGTAGACGTTAAGCAACAGCACGTTACCCTTTCTATTCTGATGAAACATAGACCAATGAACTCTAAATAATGTACATAATGCAACTGTGTACGGTGTTCCAGGCCATTTTGATGTCGAAGAGTTGAGTCTGAAAATATCAAATTTGACAAAGCAGGCGTTTGAGTTTGTTCTTTTCTACTTACATTCAGAGTCTCATTAATTTAATATTTGATTTGGCTAATAATATTTTATTGCAGACGAACGTGTTGCCACACATTCAGGGGCATTGATTCTCTAGCTGTTGACTAAATCTTTTCCATAATAGCAGAGCTTTATGAGACGATGAACAAAATGGGTTTATTTTCATCGCCGTGATATTCTAGCTGTCAGTCAAGACAAAATGAGCTCTTTTATGACACAGCTCCGGATGATATCACAGTGAAGCCAGCATGCCCGAGGAGCAAAGCAGGCAAATGAGAAAACACACAGTTTCTGTTGAACAACAAGACATACATCCCTCATTTTCATTACGATTAACCTCCTGAATCCACTTTTCTCTTATATTTTCCGTTAGCTTCTACGTTTAATATTTTTTAAATCTGACTTCCAATCTACATTCTGCACTCTACATTGTCTCTGTCTGCACTCGCTCTGCCTCCCACTGCTCTCTTTTCCTTTTGCTTCTCAATTTGTCTTTGCACTGACAAGTTCGTAACCCCTTCATTTCATCTAATTTGTCATATATTTCTCATCAACCTCTACCATACATGAGAATATTGCATGGGAAATAGGAGGAAGGCTCAAGACAGAAGTTTGCAGCCTCTCCATTAAACCAGCAATGATCTCCGTCCACTGGGTGTCATGATACCTTGCCATTACCCCAGGGTCACACCATCATTGGTACTGATAGTCCATCTGTTAGTACAGATAAAGAGGCAAATGAGGCTGCTTTGTAATGTAGTGTGACCCCGTCGGACTAACACAGGCAGATCTAATATGGCCAGCGAAGCAGCCAAAAACTGGACGAAAAAATGAAGGGAGGTGGTTTAAAGCTCATTAATCTGTATCAGCAGTTCATTTGCAGACAGAGAAAAGCTGATAACAAAACAGCGTGGGACTTTTTTCCACTCTCTCCAAGATCTAATGGACAGAAGAGAGCTCTGATATTAAAGCAACTCATTTCATGCTCAGTCTCGTTTTTCTGAAAGAAGACACGCGCTTTGATGTTGCATCATTTAAACACCATCAGTACATTGTCTCCACTGTTTACTCTTGGGTATGTCATTTAGTCTTCAGAGGAGAAAAGCCAAAGGAAAGGGCGAGGCGGGGTTGAAAAAGTGAAAAACAGTGGGCAGGGGAAGGATGCACAACGGTCATCAGAGGTCTTCAAACAGAGATATTGCAGATTTGAAGAGAGAGGAGTGAAAAATGGATAAAGAACACGGAGGCAAAACTACCCATCAGCCTGTTGCCAAGGAAACAGTGACCTTGTGCAGAAAGTAAGAAGAGGTAGATTTGCCTTCCACTTTTGTCTCTCTGAAAAAGCATATTTTGGCACATTTATTGTGTGCTAATTTTACTGGCATTTTTAATAAAGCAACTCATTTTTAACAGTCTTCACTAACTAACACCCAGTGACAATATTGTTGCTATTGTTGCTTCATATATATCTTTAAAACTTCATTGTAAACTTCAATGACAAGCTGTTTACAGGTTAATTAGCTTAGCACCTTAGCACAGGCTTTTGTCAGTCATAACATTATTGCTTTATTATGTATGACTGTATAAGATTACAGCCAGAATATGGTCAATAAGCCTTTAATAGGCATAATTAAATCACTGCTTATTGCTCAGTAGGTTTTCCATAATGCATTATTTAACAGTACATTGGGAATACTAAGGTGAAAATCATACATAAAGATGTTATATTTTGCCCAAAGTGTAATGGAAAACCATAAGTTTCTCTTTTATTTTAAACATAAACAGGAACTCTCTTTAGAGCCCATCATGTTGGATCATCATTTTCTTTCCTATTTTTGTTTTTTTAATTATAATAGGGCTACTGTATCTTCTGCAAAGCAATGGGACAAGAATGTGAGAAAATGAAAAAAAAACATATTTTACATGTTACATATTAATGTACAATGGATAATGCACTTCAGTTTGCTTTTATTTTTGTTTTTTACTGGATCTGCTAGTGAAAAAAAAAAAATTACATGTTACATATTAATGTACAATGGATAATGCACTTCAGTTTGCTTTTATTTTTGTTTTTTACTGGATCTGCTAGAGTAGATTGTCGGAAAGAAGCTTAATTTGCATCTAAAGACGGCGTGTTGCTGTTGCTGTTGCTGTTGATACAAATGAAAGTGTAGATGGCGCAGGAGCTGCTAAAAGAGAAACTCATCCATCATGTGACTCTCAATAGCTATGAATGACAGACACAGTGGAGTCAAGGAGTAAACCATCCTTTCCCTTAACATTGTTTTCTGTTCAGTGCTCAATTCCTTTTCAATGCTTTGGTGGCTTAATGATTAAATGTTGACGCTGGCTACAGTGAAAAAAAGTTGAGATTGTTTTTCTTAATATCCATATATATATAAATATTTAGGGATGGGACTTGTGAGTTACTTGGAGAAATTGGAGCCGCTCTGTTTTGGCATCATGATACATCTGTGGATTGACTTGTGTGGAGCGATATTTTGATACCAGGATAAAATTAAGACTGACTTGTGTTGGACTTGTACAACCAGCAGAATGAGCTTGATTTTGTGAAAGCCTCCCAAGCCAAGGTGATATGATTCTTGTGTGTTATTCTGCCAACTGTCCGTGTATGAAAGATGGTTACTGTATGTGGAAATATTCTCTCTCATTTTTGGAGAGAACGGTTATCCAATGGTGACATTTCTACAAAAAATATTTTCAAAAATACACTACAAAAAGTCTTCAGGTCATAATTTTACATGTGCTTCAATTGTTATAAAAAGACTAAAATAAAAAAAAAACAAAGAGAAAAAAGACAAAAACAAACAAAAAAAAAAGACTTGTGCTTGTAAGCAGTCCAACTGATTTCTTTGAGGATGATGTTCAAATATTGATACCTGAGATTGTAGTTCATACTGTAAATGAATACAAATAAAAACTGCAATTCTTTTTTTTCCCAATAGATTCATGCAGTACATTATTCACAGAGTGTGTCACTGCTGTGCTGTCTTTGCTCCATTTACACATGAAAACATTTATAGAAATATTCAAGCACAAAAAAAGAGATTACTAAGCAGCTCCCAGAATGCTGAAGTGAGGAGAAAAAGCTGTGAGGAAATGTACTGTGGCTTATTTTATGAGGTCAGAGGAGGGAAGTGGATATCTAAGAGGAAAAGGAAGAGTGATCTCTCTGCATTATACATGGAGAGTCAGATTCTTTTATCTAATTTGAATTACTCCATCTGTCTGACAGAGGCATCTGATTCATGCTGGCAAATCTGAGAATTCTATGGCAAACAGCACAATGGCTGCCTCTCCTGCTCTCTCTGCTGACTCAATATGATATACAAAAGCCCTCATTGTCCTACAGAGAACATTGTCAGGGTCATAAAAAATACAAGTCTAATCTGCAGACTCTACTCTCAATCACATGTTAAAATGCTTCTCACATCAAGTGAATTAAGTTGTAGCTCAGAGTCCCAGTCAACCTCCATCCGGCTAGATAGAAAAACTACATCAGTGCAGTAAGGTGTGATTTTTTTATTATTATTATTATTGTGAAATCCCAGCTAAATAGCACAAAATGGCTCAGCTGTAATTACCTTTGGGATTCACTCCGTTTCATTCACAAAGTACTTCATTGCTCCCTGGCAAAATGGCCGGAGGCAGTCGGTGCAGCTTTTGTTTGGAAACATGTTGGTGTGCACAGTGAAGCTAAAATTACTGTCCAGTCGGGCAAAAGGATCATTCTTTATTTTCCTTACTGATGAATTTATTTAGGGAGGTGACAGGCAGGGTCTGTTTAATCAGAGCTCAGTGTTCCAATTCTGAAACTGAACAGCAGTCCTATTGATTTGCAGGCAATATGAGGAAGCATTTTTCCATGGCAGGTTACTGAGATGATCATTCATTTTCTGACAAATTATTGTGAGTTCAGCAGTAGGTACAAACATGTCTTTATTTTCTTTCAATGTTCTTCAAAATCCTTTGACAGTCAGGGGTGAAAAAAAGAGCCCAGCTGTTTCTCTGTGACATGGAGCAGTGTATCCAGGAGGCAGAGTGAAGCTCGGGTCATCCTAACCTTGACAGTCAGCAGGGGGAAGTACAGCGAATTCTCACAATTCAAACTAATGAAGAACATTTGAAAAGAAAATTGATGTTTCTTATATATATGTGTTTGTGTGTGTTTAATTTTATATTTTATTCACACTCTTTGTATGTTTTGAATTAGGGCATATGAATTAAATTAAAGTAATCCTCCATAAACACGGTTCTGATGACAGGGATTCTTCAGCCTACCTCCTGTAAAACATGAAAAAAAAAACGCTTTTAGAAAAAACGTGATGATATTGATTGAACACTGTGCCACGTAGAACTGGGAAAATAGAATTTGAAAAATTGCACTCATGCTCAAGGACATTCATGGTCCATTACAGCATCTTCAACGTTACAAAGAAATGTCTCTTTGAAAAATTGAAAGGTTCAATAAGGATAAGCTTTCAGTAAAAAATAAGACCTTCATAGTATGGAGCATAACCTTTAATTTTATGATGTCTTATACCTTCCTGCCTTTACTTTATAATATTACTGCATTTAAGTCAGCTTTTTACTTACCAAAATATATTCTAGACATAAAATAGAGGATGTTTTTTTACACTGAACATCCACAGAACATCACGATTAATCATGACTAATTGAGGTAACTCAATCAGTCTACATGACACAAAAATAGTACAATGTACATTTTTTCTGGAACAGAAAGACAAACTCGAGCAAGTAGATGGGTGTGTTTAACACCAGCTTATTTTTTGACTACAACCAAATATTTTTATTTATTACATGAAGAAAACTGTCAAGATAAATATTCAAAAGTATAACTCCAAACTTTGCTTCATATGTGGGTTTTCGTCATCACTGTGCATCTTTAACGTGGCTTGTGCAGGAGAACGCTTTTAAAACGTCAGCGACACCGTTGTCTATAACAATATGAATATTCAGTCTGCTGTTTTTTGAAATCTATTTGACACCTGTGTGAATCACCTTGTAAGGTAAAAGCTACAGTACTCTGACCTGACATTAAAGAACACATGCTAGCTGTTAAGAAGGTATGTTATGCTTTAGGTGCACACTGTGTGTAAAAGACACTGTGTGTAGCGACTGTGCGTTTATCTTGGATGGACAGTGGAATAATTGGATATACAGTGGGCGTCATTCTGCCCATGAATAAAAATGTATTAAAATCTTAATCTTCATTCATTTTGCAAATTAATTTAAAACATTAACATGTTAATTTTGTTAGACACAATCTATATATTAATTTGGTGATTTTGTGCATGAAATGATTGTTAGACCAAAACAAATATAATAGTCTTTTGCCAAATACATTTTTTTTTTAAAACTAATCACATGATCCGTGATCCTGACTAACAGAAGTGTCTTATTTTCAGCTGCAGGTTGAATGTCAAGGCTGCTTCACACTCTGCTTTTCTAATAGTATTAATTAACATGTAAAAAAGGGAGATAGCAAGCAGTACAATTGAAAGAAAAAAAAAGTGTCTTATTTCTAAAAAAAAAAAAAAAAAAACTCTCCTGCCAGGAGTGAATTAGAGAAAAGAACATATTGCCAATAAACAAAAGACACAATCAAAACCAATTCATACAAAGTCTTTAAAATCTTTCAGCCAACCACAAACTCGCCAAAACAAAAATTATTTGACCAAATCAAGTGTGTCTCTACATGTTCTAACAGACGACTGCCCCGTCTGAGATGGATGTGGCTTTGAGGTAAATCCCCGTAAATGCTTTGGCAGATTTTCATTCTCTAAACCTAATGAACCAGTGCAACTGTAGCAGCCTCTGCTCTGACACTACAGTATACAGTATCAATCAAACATCAGGGCCATCTGCTTCCAAGTCTGAAGAAATCCCAGTAAGGATTCCAGATACTGAAGTGAGATACAAAGACATTTAAATTCAGTATTGGATCAGCAAAGATTTCCAAATTTGCAGATACGATTAAAAAAAAAGTAGAACACAGTTGTCCCTCTGACAGCATTTAGCCTTCTTCTTTCTGTTATTCGTCTATTTTTTAAATATTTTTTTCAACCCAGTTCTAGTAAACCAAACGCAACTCATTAGTATCAGTTAGTAAGATTTCATTGGGAAATGTAACAATGTTTATTATAAACATGCACATTAAGTAGATCACTGGTTCATTCCCAACTGCTAAGATTTTTTTTTTTCTGTGAAGTTTGCAAGATGAGGTTTTAATTGGCCATGTTTATGAAATAGATCATAACATCATGACCAGACGACTGTTCAGTGTGTCTAGTGCATGCATGTGTGAGACATTAAAACATTTATATATTTTTAAAAAGATCAGAAAGTCTGGCCCTGGGAGAAAACTGTCAGGTGAAATGAACAACCAGCGAGCTGTGAAACAGATGGTTTCCTGGTTCACTGCTCTTTTATAAAATGATCCCTATATTAACACCTGTTACACACACTGAATGAGCTAAGAAGGTGAGATTATAATCAAAAATACAATACAATGAATAGAAACAATATTTGTCAGACATTTATTTATTTTCATAATGACTTTTTAAAATCAATGTAAACTATTGAAAATAGTAAAACAGAATATCACTGAACCACACACAAAGAAAACCCCCCAATCTATTGTCATGTGTTACTGTTTGAAAATGCTTTAAATTATCATCTCTGCTGAAAAATCACATCTGTGTTCTATATTCTGAAAAGAAATCAACTCACCTTTTACTGCTTGACTTATTAGACTTGGAACAAAAAAGGCTCAAACAATAGTGAGATTCTGTTGCAAAGGTGTTGCCTTTCCTTTCAGATTCACGACAAAGGCGTAGACAGAGATAGGGAATAATTTGAAAACAAAATAATGGTTTTATGCGTCTGTTATTATTCTGCTCGGCAACAAGTGCTTTAACAAATGAACTGTTAGTAAATTAGGGAGAAC